TGAAAATATATGAATGTATTTTTGTTTTGATTAGCATTTTTGGAATAAATTACTTTTAATCAAAGAAATTCTGTAGATTATTTTAAGTTTGTAAATTTTTATTAAATATTGGGAGATTTTTTGAAAAAATTGTAAAAGGGTGTTGAATGTTAAAACAAATTTTTAAAAATATTTTTGATTAGTGTAATTTTTGTTAAATTTTTCGTCAATTTTTTACCAACTGTTGTATATGGTTCGTTTTATTTACAGTATTAAATCCACCTGTTGCTTCTTTTATAAGAAAATTTTAGCAATTTTGGGAAGTAGAGTTCTCTCTTGGTTATAAATCACAAGATGATAACAGATTCATGTTAGAAATTTATTGTGGTGACAATCAAAAGTGTTGATTTTTTCATCAGTAATTAAAGAAAATATGACTAAACGAGATGAATACCTACAATCAGTTCCGTTTAAGTAGAGTAAAGATTAGTTGAGACGACTAAACATAACGTGCTATAGAATTGAAGAACCGATTAACAACGATTTACATCAATATTTAATACATTAAACTAAGGTTAATAGTAATATTAGTAGCAACCCTTTCAACTATTGATCCCATACTTTTTTCTGTTCTGGTACCAAACACACTTTATAAATTATCAACCCAAACGAGAAACATTTCAATCATTGACCTGATCAAAAGCTTTTGCTACTTAAATGTTTAAAAAGTAGATTAATAAGTATTCCAAAATACAAATTTGCACCCTTAATAAAAAATCCAAAAAAGTCTTAAAAATACCTCAAATTGTAAAATATTTCAAGGGTTGAACTGTTTTAAAAACTTGCAGAACTGATTAAACTGTACAATTATACGATTGCCTATGTCTAATCCATTCTGGCACAGGGTCGAAGATCAAATACATGCTTGCTTTCCTTTGGTATAGAGGCGTTTCTAGTAATAAACGTTTTTATTAAAGCTACTTTTCCCTTTAACTCGGGATTGTTTTAGGTGTTGAAAGTACACTTCTTTTAGACACTATCCGAAATAAATCAAGTTTAATTTTTGACGAATAGTTAAAGTTCAACATCTACTGTGCCTGAGGCAAGAACATTGATAGGCTTTCAAGTTACATATACATTTTTAAAAATAAGCAACAACAATCAGCAACAACTTCTACTTACACATTTTCCATTAATTTTACTTTCATTTGAAGCGCACTTTTGCTAATTTATATGAAACCGTTTTTTTCCGACCGATACCGGACGAAATACATATGTATTTTGGATTTAATTTAATGTAATATTTTTCATTACTTCTTGTTCTTTGGGCTTCACATTAGAGAGTTTTTTGAGACTTAGAGTTAGTTATAGAGTTTCACCTCTTTAAAATTGTAATATTATTAACTCAGCGGTCGGCTCCCTAGAACCAAATGCAATTCGATGTTTATATAAAAAAATTTAATTAGAAACTTATTAAATTTAAACAAAATCTTCTGGTCTCTTCATTTAAAGCTTTTTTGCTTTTGAAAATCTTTGAGCCGACCACTGATTTAGATGTATCAATAAAACGTATCTTGGGATTGAATGCAAAATTTAATTAGAAACTAATTGTTACATTTATTTTAACGGATATTTGAAGTGAATTATATTCTGGGAAAAACTATGCATTTAGAATTATAGAACACATTCAGCACTGAAATAAGTCTGACCTTAGATGTTATCTAGTTATGTACTAGACCTGAACTAGAAGAGAACTAGAATAGAACTAGAATAGAACTAGAACAGAACTAGAACAAAACTAGAACAAAACTATAACAGAACTAGAACAGAACTAAAACAAAACTAGAACAGAACTAGAACAGAACTAGAACAGAACTAGAACAGAACTAGAACAGAACTAGAACAGAACTTGAACAGAACTAGAACAGAACTAGAACTAGAACAGAACTAGAACAGAACTAGAACAGAACTAGAACAGAACTAGAACAGAACTAGAACAGAACTAGAACTAGAACTGAACTAGAACTGAACTAGAACTGAACTAGAACTGAACTAGAACTGAACTAGAACTGAACTAGAACTGAACTAGAACTGAACTAGAACTGAACTAGAACTGAACTAGAACTGAACTAGAACTGAACTAGAACTGAACTAGAACTGAACTAGAACTGAACTAGAACTGAACTAGAACTGAACTAGAACTGAACTAGAACTGAACTAGAACTGAACTAGAACTGAACTAGAACTGAACTAGTACTAAGCTAGAACTGAACTAGAACTGAACTAGAACGGAACTAGAACTGAACTAGAACTGAACTAGAACTGAACTAGAACTGAACTAGAACTGAACTAGAACTGAACTAGAACTGAACTAGAACAGAACTAGAACAAAACTAGAACAAAACTAGAACAGAACTAGAACAGAACTAGAACAGAACTAGAACAGAACTAGAACAGAACTAGAACAGAACTAGAACAGAACTAGAACAGAACTAGAACAGAACTAGAACAGAACTAGAACAGAACTAGAACAGAACTAGAACAGAACTAGAACAGAACTAGAACAGAACTAGAACAGAACTAGAACAGAACTAGAACAGAACTAGAACTGAACTAGAATAGAACTAGAACTGAACTAGAACTAGAACTGAACTAGAACTGAACTAGAACTGAACTAGAACTGAACTAGAACTGAACTAGAACTGAACTAGAACTGAACTAGAACTGAACTAGAACTGAACTAGAACTGAACTAGAACTGAACTAGTACTAAGCTAGAACTGAACTAGAACGGAACTAGAACTGAACTAGAACTGAACTAGAACTGAACTAGAACTGAACTAGAACTGAACTAGACTGAACTAGAACTGAACTAGAACTGAACTAGAACTGAACTAGAACTGAACTAGAACTGAACTAGAACTGAACTAGAACTGAACTAGTACTAAACTAGAACTGAAAAAGAACTGAACTTGAACTGAATTAGAACTGAACTAGAACTGAACTAGAACTGAACTAGAACTGAACTAGAACTGAACTAGAACTGAACTAGAACTGAACTAGAACTGAACTAGAACTGAACTAGAACTGAACTAGAACTGAACCAGAACTGAACTAGAACTGAACTAGAACTGAACTAGAACTGAACTAGAACTGAACTAGAACTGAACTAGAACTGCACTAGAACTGGTCTTCCCAAATTATCGGGAATTAGGAAATACATCAGTATAAATTATTCCAAACAAATAATAATTTTGTAATAAATTCAATTGTAATTTTTTTAAGTTCATTTATTAATTATTTTTTTTTTTTTTATAAAAGTATATTATTTTTTGAGCTGCACTGTATATTTATTACCTTTATAAAATGTGTATATGTAAGTGCTAAGTAAATAATTTGTTTTCAAGTATAAAGCTATTTATGTATCTACTACGCAGAAATCTTTATATTGCTATAAGGTATTTTTACTTTTATCACACACTGTAGCTTTAATACGTAAATGAGAACGATTGTATGGCATCAACAACATTGAGCAAAACAACTTTTTATACTAAAATACACTAAAGGCTAACAAGAATGAAAACATTAGATATTATAATGAATTTTTCAATAGTTTTGGGGGAAAATAAAACAAAAACAATTATTTTTTGGCTTATAAATGTAAAAAAAAAATTATTAAAAATTTAAAAAATAACAATTTAAATTGATTTTTTTATATTTTTAGGAGGCTTTAATTAGTATGTTCGCCATTAGTGTAAGAGTAGTACAAAGAGAAGAGCATTTATATGGCCTGGTTTTGTATAGCGAAACAACGATTAATACTAAAATACAGTAAAGGCCAACAAGAATAGGTATGGTGGTGGAAAAAGAAATAAAATAAAAAATATATATAGGAGAAGGGGGTGAAATGTAAAGAGTAAGGTTTATGAAACAAAGTTTTAGCTAAAGTTTGTTAGGGAAGTGAAGGGGAGGTTTTTTGCTAAAAAAAATGGATATTAGCCACTACTGTATGGCTTTCAGTGTATAGCCTACTTAAGTATATTTTCGTATAAGAAAATATAAAACAGTTTGTTTGTTACTTAGTCAGTCAGTCAGTTAAACAGTTACTCAACTAACTAACAAACAAACGAATTCAATGGGAATGAAATGATACTAAGGAGTGTGTGTGTTGGTTGCTGTTGGGTTTTCTTGTTTTTTTTTGCGATTAACTGAAAAATTTAAATTTCAGATATCATGTAAAACCGCAAAACAAATGTTTTGTTTTTTTTATATAAAAAGGCGTTTTATTAATAGTATTGAAAAGAAATTTAAACATATAATTATAAAGGTAACTGCTAAAGGATATTGTTGTTGTTGTTGTTTGTCAATATTAAGTGATGTCTACTAGTTGGGTCATTAAATAATCACTGTCTTCATTTGGCCTGACACTGTATTGTTATTATTATTTTAATGCTGTTGTTGCTTTTGTTTTTTTTTTTTGGGGGGTTTTTTTATACTCTCCTACGTACGAAAAAAATTGTGATTTTTTTTTTTAATAAAAAATTGTGTTTTTTTCGGTACAATTCAATATGGCAAAAAAAAAATACACTCAATACATACAATTTTATGTAGTAAAGAAAGAAAAACACTGACAAATAATTTTATTTTCTCAGTTGAAACCAGTACAGTACAGTTTTAGTCCTAATTAACAATTACACTTGTTTATTAGTTAATTAAATATTTAATTTTAATCACTAGAACTAACAAGAAAAACCCTTCTTAAAAACTCCCACTTAAGGAAGAAAAAGCGCGCGCAAATTTACCTTTTAGTAGCTATAAAAAGTGGCAATACTTTTAACAACAACAAAAATTTCTTTCCATACGACTCTCTATAAACGTCACACACAAATATTTTTTTCAAAAATTTCAAAATTTTAAAAGCAATTTTTTTTGCCCTAAAACTTTCCGGATTTTTATAAGGTTTTAAAAATAAAATATTACAAGTGTTAATAGTTAACTTCTAGTGGAACATATTTCACTTACCTGTATTAATATTAGCTGAATTTTTTATCTAAATTCAGGCTCAAAAAGTACTTTTTTTTTGCGTTTGAACACTTAAATAAAATTTCTTTAGAGGATTTTCAATTTTTGTTTATTATGATTTGCTTTATTGTTTGTTGTTTTTGCTTGCTACTCTCACAATTACACTAACACCGAGACAACTAACAGTCGTTCGGAGATTTTTTTTCTTAGTTAAGCTCGTAGTATCTATGGTACTAGTACTACGTACGTTTCACAACAGTATGAAAAATATTCATTTGCTGAAGCTCTGGCAAACGGTTGAAATTTCTACTGCAAAAATTTTTTCTATACAATTCGTTCAGTTCAGTTCAGTTGAGCTGTGTTCGTTGTTGGCTGTTTGGTTCGTTACATTATTTTGTGTCTCAGTAGCCGTCAGTAGTATTAGTATAAAATCGCCTCTACTATATACATACATACATACATATATCTATCTATACAACAGCAAAAATACGAAAAACGACTCAATAAAAAACAAAAAAACAAAAACAGCAACAAACAAACAAAAATGTGCTTTTTTTTCGTATGATTTCAAAGTATCGTATGCATGACGACGACAACAATAACAACGTCAACAACAATATATTGTTCATGATAATGTTAATGATGGTGGTGTTGATGAGGATGATGTTGATGATGACGTTGTTGTTGTTGTTGTTGAGTATTTATATTCTCCTTTTTTTTTCCATTTAAACCTTGTCGTCCAACTTACATACATATTACTAAGTAGTTGGCATTATGTTGTTGTTGCTGCTGTTACCATATAAAAAGTCGAAACTACAACAACTTTTGCTTAAGCATTCAACCAAGTCAACCTTTTGGACAAGTCATACAATAACAGCTATACTACCGGCCATCGGAATATGGCCACAGGTTTGGCCTCATGTACCCCTCAGTTTTATTTACTTTATGTTTCATTTCGTCCTTCCCCCCTTTAGTGCTGATCAGCTGATATCAGCCAACCAGTTATTTATAGGATATTCTTCAGTTTATTAGTAAGGTCCCTTCGGGAATGTCATAATGGTTGGAATGGAAAACCAATTCGTGTTAGTAAAGTATTTCGGGCTACCAAATATTTGTCTGGGAGTATTGCCGGGGTATGTTATCTGAATGACACACCCACATTGTAGTATAATTCTATTTCCGGGCAAAATAGATGCTACCGGTACCTCTAGACTGCCGGGACAGTAGACTCCATGGTCATTCCTTGTAGTCTGACCAGAGAACTATATAATCTGGTACTACAAGAGTCCGTTGGTCTTGTAGGAACCGTCCCGTAACCCGCTTTTGATTGAGAAGAGAGTGTTGGTTAAAAGACTGTGAAGTCAATATTTTGTCTAGGAGTCCCCCCGGGGCATATTATCTGGGTGACCCACCCATATTTTGGTATAATTGCATTACCGGGGAACCATACATATAATATGGTACTACAGTAGCCCGTTGGACTTGTCCTAGAGAACTATATAATCTGGTACTACAAGAGTCCCTTGGTCTTGTAGGAACCGTCCCGTAACCCGCTTCTGATTGAGAAGAGAGTGTTTCGGACCCACCCTCATATTGGCATTATTGCAATTTCGAAGAATTGAACCCCTAGTTTGCGGGACTGTTAACTATAGGAGTCATTAGACTCCTTGGCTATTTCTTAGAGTCTCTGACTAGGGGACTGACCAAAAAACCATATAATCTGGTACTATAGGAGTCCGTTAGGGCTGTAGCATTCGTTCTGTAACCGGCTGTTGATTGGGGGAGAGAGAGCGTGTTGGTTAAAAGACGGTGAAGTCAATATTTCGGACCCACCCTTATTTTTAAACCTCTAGTCTGCCGGGACTATAAACTGAAAGAGTCACTAGACTTCTTGACTATTTGTTGAAGTCTTTGACTACGTATTGTAGAAGTCCGTTGGGCCTGTAGGATTCGCCTGTGAGTATGAATAAAGTCTTGGCTTAATGATGGATACTGTACTTCCGTCTACCAAATACATCTCTAGGATCTATTGCCGAATCAATAGAGGCGATTCCTGCAGTATTGTGACTTCTGCTAGCGTCCGAAGATTACCGGACAAGAAGCAATGTGTCTGCGATGGTCAACAATCAGATAAGTACCTTAAGAGCTCCAGTATCTGCCATGTACAAAAAAATTGTCTCCTGAATGTTTCTTAGGGTTCAAAAGGGAGCGTTGGTGATTTGACTCTAGCTAGCACTGTGGTAGAAAAAGACCAACGTAGATTAAGGCCGACAAAACTGGTTTTCACGATAATCACTCCGAGTTCATGTCTCTAGGTGTTGCCCCTGCGGCTTGTTACCTTGGTGGACCAATCTCATTTTGAAGTTATACCTCTATACGGGTATAGAGGTGCAACCAGTAGGTTATTGGCAAGCCAATACAGAATGAATGAAACCGAAATCGTGTTGGTTTAAAGTCTAAGTCTTGCGGCATTAATATTTTGGAATAAGATCCCTGTGCTGTTGCCGATTCAACAGAGTAGTGACTGAAGAACTAAGTATATGTTGAGAATGAGTTGATATCACACGAACAGGATGTATAATGAGTCAAGGGAGTATTGATGCTGGTTGCCAAAACAACAGTAATTCGGTGTGTTTGTTATTCAGAAATAGTCTGAAGATGGTCAATCGTTCCGCAACGGGACAATGGATCGACTTTTGTTACAATGTTGGTATCGATGTCCCTTGTAGATATGTGTATTCTTCCCAGTTTACCCTATTCAATTAAACTAAAGTATAAATTATTCTTACACTTGCTACACTTCTTATTTTCAACATTCCGGAACATCATTATCATCATTATACTTGTTGTTGTTGTTGCTGCTGTTATTATCAAAAAATCATTTAAACGTTCTACGCTTTAAATAAAAGTACACACGAATGCAAATGGTTACTCCAACAAAGTTGTTGTTTGTTGGCGGCTACTAATCTCCTATAACAGCAACTACTTAGAAGAAATATGAGAAAATTAAAAATTAAAAAAAAATAATATTTTTTTAAAAATGAGTTTTATTTACTTACAAACGTATAAAAAAAAGTCAGTTCATGTGTCTGTCTGTCAGTATATTGGTCAGTTATCATTTCGTGACAATAAACAGTAACAACAACATCTTCATTATCATTGTAATCATAATTATCATAAATATGAACCTCATTATTATGATTGTCATCATTAGAACAAATAACAAGTTGTATTGCAAGAGCAACAAACTGTTTAAACTACCGACTAACGACAGACGAAGAGCGTAAATTATTCGTAAAAGGGGCAGCAGTTAATGAGGGAGCAGACCGAGAAGGAAATGCTGTTGTTATTGGTATAGGTGCTGATGGTCATGGTGTGGGTCTGATAGTGGTTAAATATTTTATCAATATCTTTTATTTGTTTAGTCATTGACTTATTTTAGGAATTATTGTATATGTGAGCGTGAGAGCCATTTTTTAACGGAACATTTTTAATCGAAATGAACGTGTGAAGGATATTAGTACTAGAGTTCAAGATCACAGTCGAGTTTCGGTCAAGTAAACCATGTTTAAAATTAATTTGAATCAGTAATATATATTTTATGATATTGATGTATGTAGATAACCTTCAGCGATCGTCCTATTCCTCTAGTCAATAGTCTAGTCTATAGTCTAGTCTATAGTCTAGTCCATAGTCTAGTCTATAGTCTAGTCTATTGTCTAGTCTATAGTCTAGTCTATAGTCTAGTCTATATCTTAGTCTATAGTCTAGTCTATAGTCTAGTCTATAGTCTAGTCTATAGTCTAGTCTATATCTTAGTCTATAGTCTAGTCTATAGTCTAGTCTATAGTCTAGTCTACAGTCTAGTCTATAGTCTAGTCTAGTTCTAGTCTACAGTCTAGTCTATAGTCTAGGCTATAGTCTAGTCTATAGTCTAGTCTATAGTCTAGGCTATAGTCTAGTCTATAGTCTAGTCTATAGTCTAGTCTATAGTCTAGTCTATAGTCTAGTCTATAGTCTAGTCTATAGTCTAGTCTATAGTCTAGTCTATAGTCTAGTCTATAGTCTAGTCTATAGTCTAGTCTATAGTCTAGTCTATAGTCTAGTCTATAGTCTAGTCTATAGTCTAGTCTATAGTCTAGTCTATAGTCTAGTCTATAGTCTAGTTATAGTCTAGTCTATAGTCTAGTCTATAGTCTAGTCTATAGTCTAGTCTTAGTCTAGTTCTATAGTCTAGTCTATAGTCTAGTCTATAGTCTAGTCTATAGTCTAGTCTATAGTCTAGTCTATAGTCTAGTCTATAGTCTAGTCTATAGTCTAGTCTATAGTCTAGTCTATAGTTAGCTATAGTCTAGTCTATAGTCTAGTCTATAGTCTAGGCTATAGTCTAGTCTATAGTCTAGTCTATAGTCTAGTCTATAGTCTAGTCTATAGTCTAGTCTATAGTCTAGTCTATAGTCTAGTCTATAGTCTAGTCTATAGTCTAGTCTATAGTCTAGTCTATGGTCTAGTCTATAGTCTAGTCTATAGTCTAGTCTATAGTCTTGTCTATAGTCTAGTCTATAGTCTGTCTATAGTCTAGTCTATAGTCTAGTCTATAGTCTAGTCTATAGTCTAGTCTATAGTCTAGTCTATAGTCTAGTCTATAGTCTAGTCTAGTCTAGTCTATAGTCTAGTCTAGTCTAGTCTATAGTCTAGTCTAGTCTATAGTCTAGTCTAGTCTAGTCTATAGTCTAGTCTAGCTATAGTCTAGTCTAGTCTATAGTCTAGTCTATAGTCTAGTCTATAGTCTAGTCTATAGTCTAGTCTATAGTCTAGTCTATAGTCTAGTCTATAGTCTAGTCTATAGTCTAGTCTATAGTCTAGTAATTAGTCTATAGTCTAGTCTATAGTCTAGTCTACAGTCTAGTCTACAGTCTAGTCTATAGTCTAGTCTATAGTCTAGTCTATAGTCTAGTATATGGTCTAGTCTATAGTCTAGTCTATAGTCTAGTTTATGGTCTAGTCTATAATCTAGTCTATAGTCTAGTCTATAGTCTAGTCTACAGTCTAGTCTACAGTCTAGTCTATAGTCTAGTCTATAGTCTAGTCTATAGTCTAGTCTATAGTCTAGTCTATAGTCTAGTCTATAGTCTAGTCTAGTCTATAGTCTAGTCTAGTCTATAGTCTATAGTCTAGTCTAGTTTATAGTCTAGTCTAGTCTATAGTCTAGTCTATAGTCTAGTCTATAGTCTAGTCTATAGTCTAGTCTATAGTCTAGTCTATAGTCTAGTCTATAGTCTAGTCTATAATCTAGTCTATAGTCTAGTCTATAGTCTAGTCTACAGTCTAGTCTACAGGTCTAGTCTACAGTCTAGTCTATAGTCTAGTCTATAGTCTAGTCTATAGTCTAGTCT